CAACAAAGCTCATCTTTTCCAATAAACAATTTTAAAAGTTCCAAGTTAAAACAAGTCAACATTTTACACACTTACATCTGTCATCTACACAAAACAGAACTCCTAATTTACACACTTACTTTAGAAATGTATTTTCCCTTTGACTTTTTAGGCAATAATTACGCAGAATTACTGGAGTATCAAAACACAGAATTCACCAATTACAAATGATAGCGACCTACCGCGTCAGACTGAAACACTGAGAATGCTGCCCTTTCCTGTACATGAATTCTCAAATCCACAAAGACCCACAGCACCGCAACCAAGCGCAAGCAAGAGTTCCATTCCTAGTGTTTGCTGGTGTTCCTCGCCCAGACCCTACAAGTGCATTCTAACACTGAGCTAAGCCTCCACCTCAGGACACCAGCCGCTGCGCATCCCTGCGGCCTCTCCTCCTCAGGATCACACACTGAGCTGCAGACAACTGTTCTGGGAATCCATATGTAAAAAACTGAAGGTTTCACCAGAAAAAATTAGTCTTAAGAGAAGCCAAACATTGTTCATTCACCCTGATCATGTTTCAGCACAACCGCAACGCTGCAAAGTACTCCAACTCCAACAGGGGCGGCACGGCCCCAAATCCACTCAGACACACGCACACCAACAGGTGCAAATCTTTCCCACGTGTCATAGGCCAGCAACAAAGCCAGGCAAAAGACAACACAACATTTTCAATTAGGTATTTCTGATTTTTTTTTTAAAAAAAACCTTATTTATTTATTTATTACAAACTCAGATATACAGAGAGGAGGAGAGGAAAATCTTCCATCCGATGATTCACTGCCCAAGTGAGTGCAACGGCCGATGCTATGCCGATCCGAAGCCAGGATCCAGGAACTTCTTCCAGATCTTCCACGTGGGTGCAGGGTCCCAAGGCCTTGGGTCGTCCTTGACTGGTTTCCAGGGCCACAAGCAGGGAGCTGAACGGGAAGTGGAGCTGTTGGGATTAGAACCGGTGTCCATATGGGATTCTGGGGCGTTCAAGGTGAGGCCTTTAGCTGCTAGGCCACGCTGCCAAGCCCTAGGTATTTCTGATTTTTAAAAAAATGACTTGCAGGGCCTGGAGCAGTAGCCTAGTAGCTTAAGTCCTGGCCTTGCATGCCTGGGATCCTATGTGCATGCCAGTTCATATCCTGGCTGTTCCGCTTCCCAACCAGCTCCCTGCTTTTAGCTTAGCAAAGAAGTGGAGGAAGACCCAAAGCCTTGCGACCCTTGTGGGAAACCTGGAAGAAGCTCCTGACTCCTGTCTTCAGATTGGTTCAGCAACCGGCCGTTGTGGCTACTTGGAGAGTGAACCAGTGGGTGAAAGGTCTTTCTCCCTTTTCTCCTTCACTCTATCAATCTGACTTTCCAACAAAAATAAAATAAATCTTAAAAAAAAACAAGGGCCCGGCGCGGTGGCGCAAGTGGTTAAGGTCCTCGCCTTGCACGCCCAGGATCCCATATGGGCACCGGTTCTATCCCGGCAGCCCCGCTTCCCTTCCAGCTCCCTGCCTGTGGCCTGGGAAAGCAGTCGAGGACGGCCCAAAGCTTTGGGACCCTGCACCCGCGTGGGAGACCCGGAAGAGGCTCCTGGCTTCAGATCGGCATAGCATCGACCATTGTGCTCACTTGGGGACTGAATCATCGGATGGAAGATCTTCCTCTCTGTCTCTCCTCTCTGTACATCCACCTTTCAAATAAAAATAAATCTTTAAAAAAAAAAAAAAAACTTATTAGGCCTAACGCAGTAGCATAGCGGTTACGGTCCTTGCCTTGAACACCCCAGGATCCCATATGGGCTCCGGTTCTAATCCCAGCACCCCACTTCCCATCCAGCTCCCTTCCTGTAGCCTGGGAAAGCAGTCGAGGATGGCCCAAGGCCTTGGGACCCTGCACCCATGTGGGAGACCAGGGAAAGCTCCTGGCTCCTGGCTTCGGATGGCTCAGCTCCAGCTGTTGCGGCTGCTTGGGGAGTGAACCATCAGATGGAAGATCTTCCTCTCTGTCTCTCCTCTTTTTATATCTGCCTTTCCAATAAAAATAAATAAAACAATAAATAAATTTTTAAAACTTATTAATATCATAAAATTTAAAATTTGTTTCACCAAACTCAGTTATGCACTTAACAAAGTTACATTAGTTAAAAAAAAAAGGGGGGGTGGTTCTCAAAGTGATCCATGCAAACGCCAATTATTACTATTGTTAAGTCTTTTAGGATCAGTACTGGATCCTGGGTCATTTTTACCCCAAAAGGAATTTGGACTTGACTTTCAGCTGGAACTGCTCTCTCTCCCTCCACGTCATGGAGGGAAGGCCACTTACTTCATCTGTCCCTTCCTACAAGGCAGGAATCAGTAACACCATCACGTGACACGTTAGACTCCACTACAGACACACTGCAGGACACCACACACGGGAATCATGACGCCAAATTAAACCTGTCATTTTGTTTATCTTTCAAACTGTACGTGCCACAACCAATTACTTGAAAACAAAAGCAAGTTCTATCCCTTAAAAAAAAAAAAACACATCGGGCCCGGCGCGGTGGCACAGTGGTTAAAAGTCCTTGCCTTGCACGCCCAGGATCCAATATGGGCGCCGGTTCTAGTCCCAGCAGCCCCGCTTCCCTTCCAGCTCCCTGCCTGTGGCCCGGGAGAGCAGTCGAGGACGGCCCAAAGCTTTGGGACCCTGCACCCGCTTGGGAGACCCGGAACAGGCTCCTGGCTTCAGATCGGCATAGCATCGACCGTTGCGCTCACTTGGGGAGTGAATCATCGGACGCAAGATCTTCCTCTCTGTCTCTCCTCTCTGTACATCTGCCTTTCCAATAAAAAAAAAAAAAAAAAAAAACCAATCCACACATCTACACATGGTTAACAACTATAAAAAATGAGTATTAACTCTGTAGACAAGGAAAAACAAAGTTTCTCAGTGCTTTCATTTAGTGTCAGTTCTTCATCCTGTGTCAGTCTTAAAATTGTTATCTAAAGGGGCTCAGTGACCTAGCGGCTAAAGTCCTCGCCTTGCACGCCCCAGGATCCCATATGGGCGCCAGTTCTAATCCCGACAGCTCCACTTCCCATCCAGCTCCCTGCCTGTGGCCTGGGAAAGCAGTCGAGGACGGCCCAAGGCCTTGGGACCCTGCACCCGTGTGGGAGACCTGGAGGAAGATCCTGGCTCTCGGCACAGCACCAGCCATTGTGGTCACTTGGGCAGCGAATCATCGGACGGAAGATCTTCCTGTCTCTCCTCCTCTCTGTATATCCGACTTTGTAATAAAAATAAATAAATCTTTTTTTAAAAAAATTCCTATCTAAATCATTCAAGAACTCGGAACACAAGCGCTCCCCACCTGAAGCCTCGGCGGCAGATTGTCGCTGACATGACCTGCCAACACACTCTCATTGCAAGTTATGTTGTGTAAGGGATTCACACGTGAGGTAAAACTGTCATGTACCTTAGAAAACAACAGTCACCCCCTTAACTGTAACAGTACTGCTCCATACAGAGACGCAGAATGTGCCTGTGGTTGTGTTATAGCACAGCCACATCTAAAACACACGGGACAAGGAAGCGGCTGAGGTGTGCAACAGGTGGCCAACGCCTTGAATTGAAGAACACAAAACCGACCAGGAGAGGAGGCACAGTCCTGCGATGCCACAACCACATCTACCTTGCTTTAAAAAAAAAAAAGGCTTTGCTTGGCGAGAGCCTCTTCTGGACAGGAGCCCAGCCTTCCTGTAGGATCTTTCGGGTCTACCTAACAATTCAACAACTCTGTAACCTTGACCTAACAAGAACAGATTCCCTACGGGACAAACCACTTGTGAGTTGCACAGCACCATTGCTTTTTTTTTCCCAAAGAAAGCACACTTCAAGAAACGTCAAAACAGTCATAAACCTTAAAAGGGCAAATTTGCACTATTGAGACACTTAATTTCTTAAAGTCAGAGGTAAAGAATGAGAACCATGACAACACGGATGGCTCAGCGGAGCTCCGTGGGCACGTGCCTGGGGGGCACACTTGCCCACGTGATGCCAGACCTGCTCCTCAGCTCGTGTAGAGGTGGCAAGGGGGGGTCTCCACGTGTCGCCAGCCTCAGAAAATGGCTTAGAGTACCAAATCTCTTCTCCAAATTCAGTCTACATTACAGAGCCAAATAAAGCCATCATAAATTCCTGCAGCAAGCTCCCAGGCCTTTCAGCTCAGCACATTTCACACCCCATCCGCACGGTTCTGTGGCCGTCCTCACACCCCACCACGCAAACACAGCCTCAACTGCTGGAAATGAGTAAACGCTATCAGCACCGATAATGGTCTCCGGCCACAGAAGGGCAGGTCTGGGGTCCGAGCAGCACGCAGGACCACGGCAGCCAGCACACACAGGCCCCACCTCCTCCACGCGGGAATCAAAGCCTTTCAACAGTCTGGCTCATCCGGCCCCCTCCCCGTCCCCCCAAAGTACAGACCTTGGTCAGCACGGGTATTCTACCTGTCCTCACTGGACACCCCAACAAACCTCCCACGTTGCCAAAGCGCTCATTTTTCAAACCAAAACAATCCGGGCTTCTCTCCGCCTCAAAGTCCCAAACCCAGCGCAGCGATCTTGAGAAGCTACCCCGGAGCCTTCCTCTCTGTTCTGCCATAGAATTCCACCCCAGCCGGTCAGTCCGACAATCCCAGCACTGAACATGCAGAACGTTGGCCACACTGCAAGCCACCAACCCCTCAGACATGCAGGGCTCCTGTGCAGGATAAACGCTGCTTACAACTCCATCTGCACACAGGACCGAGAGCAAGGCTCTGACGGCACGGCAAAAAAAAAAAAAAAAAAAAAAAAACATGAGATGAATGCGCCTTCCCCTCTCTCCTCTGACGTGCAAAAAAAAGCCACTTGAAAAGTTCTAATCTACCATAGGTTCAAATGGAAACATACTGGTCGTTCTCCCCGGACACTGCGCGGGCACAGCTCACTCACCAGTCTCTGGCTGTAGCGGACGCGCTCCTCCTCCGGTTCCATCTCTCACTCCGCTGTTGAAATCCCCGCCACTCCAGGGCTGCCTTCCTCTTCCTCCTGGGCGACCAGGGCAGCAGGCGGTGAGGACCCCTCCTCCCACCGGCCAGGCCTCCCCCCGCCGGCCCGGCGGCCCTGGGACGGTGCCAGCAGGGTGCCAGGTCGGCAGGGCCTGGGCAGAAGCAGGCAGGACGGGGCTGCGGGGTTTCGGTGCCCGGGACGTCCACCAGGACTACACTCGCCAGGCGCCACTGGGAGGCAGCGGCAGCAGAAAGCCAGCACGCCAGCCCAGGTGAGGCCGGCTCGGCTAACCCAGATGCCGAGCGCGGGATCGCACCGGGCAGAGACGGGAAGCAAGGGCGCAACGAGCTCCCCCTGCAGCGCGCACCCTCCAGGACCCCCGGGCGAGGGCCGGACGTCCACCCCACAAGTGGCCGCCTCCGAAGCCAGCCCGACTTCGTGCCCCAACTCGGAAAGCAGCCCCCAAGAGTGGTGAGCTGCGGACGGGCACGCCGCCCTGTCCCGAAGGGATCAAGTCTTTCTAGAAAGGATTACGATCTAAAGGCATGAGTCAATTACACCTTTCTCCTCCCCGCCCTCCCCCCAAAATTAAAGACCAGCTGGCGCGCCGGCCAGTCTCTAGCACCCAGAAAGCGCTTTCATTTTTTCGTCCGCAGACCTTCTGGATGTTGGCAACGACTACACTTCACGCTCCTCGCATCCTCTCCAAAGTGCAGGGGACACCCGAGGACCCCGCGGCACAGTCTGCAGGCGCACGTCGCGCCGGGAGGAGGCCCCGGGCCGGAGTTCGGGAGCAGCCAGGCCCGGGGACCCCGCCAAAGTTACCCCAGCCCCCAAAGACGGCAAGCAATCTCCCCCACCACCACCCCGGGAAAGGCCAGCTCCGGGACTCACCCCAACGCAAAAAAGAAAAAAAAGAAAGAAAGAAAGAAACTTAGTCTTTGGCTAGCCCGGGGACCCAAACTTCCCAAGGAGGGGGGAGGCTCACCGGGGATTTTGCTCTTGAGTTCTTGTCCAAGTGAGAAGATTCCAAAAACTACGAGGAAAAAAATTAAATCCCACACGTCGTCTTCGGGTTGTTGTTGTTTTTTTTTTTTTCTCCCGTAGATCAAACCCAGTATCCAGAGAGGGTCAGAACGACCCGGAGGAAAAAAAAAAAAAAGGAGAGAGGAAATAGTTGCTGAAATCCAACCTCCTCCTCGGGCGTTGGAGAGCGGCGCTCGGAGGCGTCAGGACCGGGAGCGGGACCCTCGGCGCCCCCGCCGCCCCCGGCCGGCGCTCGGCACGCTGGAGTCCGAGTGCCCGGCTCGCCCCGGCCGCCGCCGAGCGCCCCTCCTCGCCGAGCCCTCGGCCGGCAGCGGCCCCGGGAGCCCCCCGGGAAGCGGCGGCCCGATCAGCTGAGAGCGGCCGGGCCGAGGCTCCCCGCGCCGCCACGGGCCCCCCGGAACGCCCCGGGGAGCGCAGAGGGCGAGCCGCGGCCGGGCCGGGGGGAAGCCCGGGCTCCCCTGGCGTCGCCCCCTCAGCCGGGGGGCTCCGCGCTGCGGGACGAGCACCCCCGGCTGCTCCGCCAGTCGCAGAGGAGGGGATTCCGGAGGATGGGCCCCCTTGGCGTGGCCCCCCTTTCCTCCGGGAGCGCCCCCTGCCCAGGAGAGATGAGAGCGGCGACGGGCCTAGCCGCCAAGAAGGTGCTCTCAGAGCCGCCGCCGCCGCCGCCGCCGCCGCTGCCGGGGAGGGGTGTTGTTTCCCTCACACAGGAGGAGCCGCCGAAGCAGCCGCCGCCATTTTGAACCCGTCAGACTCTCACATACACACAGCTCCTAGGCGGCGCACTGCGCAGGCGCCGCCGCCGCACTCCCCACCCCCACAGCCCTCCCGGCCTCCCTAGGCCGCTTTACCGCTCTCTCTCCCCGGGCGCGCACGGGAACGCGCACGCGTCACTCCCCGCCCCCCGCCCCCGAACGCGGACCCTCCGCCGGCGCGCGCACGCGCGGACGTGTCGCCCTCGAATCGCCCGCGCCCCGCGACGCCGACGCGTCAGCCCTCCCGCCCTCCCGCCGGCCTCCAGGCAAGGGCTCGGGCCGGGCCGGCGCGTCGCGCCTGCGCGCTGCGCACGATCCTCCTCCTCCTCCGCGCGCCCTTCCCCCTCCGCAGCCTGCCCAGCGCGCCGTGCGCGCGCGTGCGTGCGCACACACACACACACACACACACACACACATACACGCACGCACACACGCAGCCTGGCTCCGACACAAGCCACTTTGCCTCGGTGACCCCGCCCCGCGCCGGCCAGCTGCTCCGGGCGCCCTCCCCCACCGCTCCTGGGAGGGCGCTGACACCCTCCCCGCCCGCTCCCGTACCCCAACCCCCCCACAAACAAAAGCAACCACCGCCCCCGTACGCACACCCCCCACACACGGGCAGGAAGGCAAAAGCGCCCCATTCCCCTTCAACCGCCCTGGGCCCCAGGCGGCCCGTCAACCTGAGGGCCATGGCGGCCTGCATCAGGACAGCCGTTGCCCACCTCAGCGCCGGGGGCGCCGCGTCCTCCTCGTCCTCCTCGTCCTCCTCCCCCGTGAGGTCACGCCGCCGGGCCAGGCCGGCCTGACCTGGGCGCCCCATTCGCGTGTGCCCCCTTGGCGAGGGGGCGCGGAGAAGGGCGCGTTGCCGCCGGCCGCCCGCCCCTCGCGCGCCGGCCCACCGGCCGAGGCCCGCATGCCCGCCATCCCCCGGGCAGGCCCGGGTGCCCCTGCCGCGGGAGGGCTCGGCCGCCCTCGGTTCCGGGGCCGTGGGGGAGCCCCTCGGTGCAGCGGCCTGGCCCCCGCCTCACCCGCTCCTCGCCGCTCCGAAGGGGCAGGACTCGGGAGAAGCATGTCTGGTCGTGGGCTCGGCTCCCCCGGGAGGGGGGCAAGCTCCAGGCGCTGGACCAGGGCGTCCACAGGTGCAAGCACGCCAGTGGTCTTCGCGACGGCCCCGGGGAGGCGGGGGGCGGCGGCGGCAGCCAGCGCGCCCCACGGCGAGCCGGAGGCGCCCAGTGAGGTGGCCCAGGAAGCCCCCAGCTCCTCGGCCATGCTCAGGTTTCCGCAGCGCCGGTGCCCCCGGCGGGCCCGGGTGGGACGTGACCCCGCCCCCGGCGAGTCGGGGCGCCCCCCACGGAGGGGTGCGCAGGGCCGGCGCCCCTCTTCTTCACCCCAGGCCGACCCTGCCGCCCTGGCCTGTGGGCTGGCGCGGGAGGCCCGGCGGGGAAAGATGTCTCCTCTCGGTGCGCGCAGCTTCGCGCGAGGGTCAGCGATGGGGCAGCAAGCGGCCCGAGGCGCGCCAGCCCTGCCCACGGACGGCTCCCGGGGCTCGATCGCTGCCCGACGGGGTCAGCAGGCTGCGGACGTCGACGGAGCCCGGCCGGAGGTCTCAGCATTGCCATGCGTGGAGCCCAGCCGCGATCCGGGCATTTCCCCCAGCCAATCTCGTGCTTTGGGGCCCGTTTAAATTCCAAGACCGGGTAAAGGACCGTGGCTTGGGCGTTACACAACGGGATTGGCGAGTTGGGCTTGCCGGCGCGCTTGCTTGGTGTTCTCCCAGCCTTGGTTTCCCACACTCCTGAGCCTCGCTCTAAGTCCTGGGAGCCAGAAATGCAGGGGGAGACGAAAGGCAAGGATGCAGTCCTAGAACTTGGCACCCAGAGCCTACCGTTCTGACCAAGACGTCAAGGAATGCCAACCTGCAGTACCTTCTGTCCAGGGTTGAACTCTAACGGGTCAAGTCGTAAGCCCAAGGTGTTATCACTCATTGTCAGCTAAGGGCTTTTTTCTACCTGCGAATCTCGGGAATTTGTAACCTACATTCTCTGCTTCGTCTCACAGCATCCTTCTGAGACCAGCTGAAGTGCTTGCATCGTTCTACTCATGGCCAACCATAGATGATTCAAGTATCAAGTTGAGCAGCTTCTGTCATTACTCCGATAGACAGGCGTCCAGGGTGCTGCCTACAATACCTCAGCAACAACAACAAAAGCTGCTAAGAGGGGTTTGCCATCTTGTACTCAAGTCACTGGGAAATAGACTGAATTCTGATACCACTTGCATTCAAACTTGGGAGATTTTCAGAGCAATGAGACAAAGAAAGAAAAGAAAAGAAAAAAAGACCATCTCCACTGGCACATCAGATGGCCGGGGTCAGCTTTCCAGTTGGCATCACCAGCTAGGGTCCCCTGGTCAGCAGGCTCTTGTTCTTAAGTGCTAAAGATCTTTGTGGATGTGGGATGCAATGTGCAGCCTCCTTACTATTGACACAATAAACAGCTTTCGTTTCTTCCCACTCATCCCTAAAAATGCAAGGAACTACTTGTGGGGAGAGAGACTTAACTTGGTTTTCTTAAGGTCCCAAGATTAACTAGTCTGCGCTGGGAGCAAGGGACATTTGGAGAGACCCGTAGTGCTGGCCACACAGGCAGGCTTTGTTAGCATTCCAAAGCAGATGTGCGGGCTGAGATAAGAGATAGGCGGATGGCTGGTGATGCCTCTTCTGTAGATACAATGGTTTCCGCTGGCAAGGGCCGATCTGCGCTGGGGAGAACCTGGATGAGTCATTGTCAAGGAGACTTGGCTGGGGATGTGGGGGGTCTTGAGGACCACCAGGACTATGCTGCATGGCTGCAGCTGTGGAGTAAGGAAAGGATAGCTGATGAAGACCAAGTTTCTTCTGGAAGCGTTGTCGTCAAGCTCTCTGGCTGAATAAGCAGGTGCCAGAACAAGATAGAAACAAATGTGTGCCTGCTTGGGCTAAACTCGGACCCAGCCAACGTTGGAAGTCAAAAAAATCCAGATCACTCATTTCTTTCTGGCTTATGTTGAGGGATAAGAAAAAAAAGAACTCAGTAGCCTGGTTAGGCAAGTGTCGCTGGTTTGAGCGAGTTAAGGAGGAAGTAAGGATTCCCCAAGGAACACGGGTCTAACCCAATCAAAAAAACTCTCCATTCCCCAGGAGGCTGCAGTGTCCATCGGTGATTCCAAAGGTTTGGTGTTTGAGACAGAGGGGCCACCTGCTGCAGCTGGGCATCCCACGCTGGAGAACAGCAAGGCTCAAGCACTCAGACCCATCCTCTGTTAACTTTCCCTGGTGCATTAGCAAGCAGCTGAATCTCAAGTGGAACAGTGGGAACTCGAACCAATGCTCACGTCAGGATCTAGACAGCAGCTTAACCCTCTGTACCACAATGCCGGTCCCAATATTTAAGCAAGTAAGTTTTCCTGCGGGGCCCAAAACAGTAGCCTAGCAGCTTAAGTCCTCACCTTGCACATGCAGGGATCCCATGTGGGCACCGGTTCTGGTCCGTGTGGCCCTGCTTCACATCCAGCTGCCGGCTTGTGACCTGGGAAAGTACCTGAGGACAGCCCAAAGCCTTGGGGACCCTGCACCCGGGTGGGAGACCGTGTGCGAGACCGAGAAGAAGCTCCTGGCTCCTGGCTTCAGTTTAGCTCAACTCCAACCGCTGTGGCCATTTTGGGAATGAACCAACAGATGGAAAATCTTTCTGTCTCTCCTCTCTGTAAATCTGCCTTGCCAATAAAATAAATAAAAAGAAAAGAAGACTTTCTCAAGTCAAATTTTTATACTTTTGAAAATCAAACTCCTATAGCTCCAGAAACGCAAAAAGGAGGCATTGCATGTGGTTGTTATAAGCATTCGGGGGTTTGGGGAATTTTCCTTTCTTCGTGTACTTGTTTCTGAGTCTGTGAGTAGAACTGATCGGAAAATAAATGAAACGGGAAAGGTCCCGCCAGTTTAGGCGACACACATGCATCTTGCAAAGGCGCACCCCCCCCCCCTTGCTTAGACCCACACCCCTCACCGACTGGGCGTCTCACTGCCACCCTTCCTGGACGAGACTGGTGCAGGCCCGCTCCCCGGAGCTCTGTGTGAGGCCAGCAGCGGCAGCATCTGGGGCCCACCTGTTCCTTCAGCCACCGCAGCTTCGCCTTTGGGGCGGGCACCCTCACTTCTCATTTCTAAAAAGGGTCGGGACTTCCTGCCCTGCCATGGAGTGGGACCGAAAGCGACCAAGCCCTGACGTTTCTCCTATACCTGTGCTTCCGGGGTGGGGGTAAATTTCCGACACCCTGGGGCCTAAGGGAGGTGGAGGAGTGCAATCCTGTGCCTTATTTGCCGGCATGGCTGGTAGTCATGTCCGAGCCATCTGCAGCCAAATTCCCCAAGAGCCCAAGCCCTTGAACCTGTTCCTAGGCCTTCCCTCAAGAATGCCCACCCCCTCTGTCATCGTCTGCCAAGGCTAGCATTGGTTCTGCTGCTTTGAGAGGGGTGCGGACCACCTGTGCCCTAATGGGCCTGGAGCTTCGTTGCTCAAAAACTCCGTTCTCAGGCCTAGCACAATGGCTCCGTTGCCTAATGCTCCCCACACAAGTGCAGCATTCCATGTGGGCATCAGTTCAGTGCTCCACTTCCCATCCAGCTCCCTGCCTGCGGCCTGGGAAAGTAATCGAGGATGACCCAAAGCCTTGGGACCCTGCACCCGCGTGGGAGACCTGGAAGAGGCTTCTGGCTCCTGGCTTTGGATAGGCTCAGCTCGGGCCGTTGTGGCTGCTTGGGAGTGAATTAGCGGATGGATGATCTTTCTGTCTCTCCTCTGTGTAAATCTGCCCTCCAATGAGAATAAATAAATCTTTTTTTTTTTTTTACAGATTTATTTTTATTATTATTTTTTTTATTGGAAAGGCGGATATACAGAGAGGAGACACAGAGAGGAAGATCTTCCGTCCGATGATTCACTCCCCAAGTGAGCGCAACGGCTGATGCTATGCCGAACCGAAGCCAGGAGCTTTCCCGGGCTACAGGCAGAGAGCTGGAAGGGAAACGGGGCTGCCAGGATAGAACCGGCGCCCATATGGAATCCCGGGCATGCAAGGCGAGGACCTTAACCACTGCGCCACCGCGCCAGGCCCTAAATAAATCTTTAAAAAAGAATTAAGAAACTCTGCTTTAGGGCCCGATGCCATGAACTAGTGGCTAAAGTCGTCACCTTGAACGCACCCAGGATCCCAAATGGGCGTCAGTTCTGATCCCAGTAGCCCCACTTCCTATCCAGCTCCCTGCTTGTGGCCTGGGAAGGCAGTGAAAGACGGCCCAAAGCCTTGGGTTCCAGCACCTGCATGGGAGACCTGGAGGAAGTTCCTGGATCCTGGCTTCGGATGGGCATAACACCGACCATTGTGGTCACTTGGGGAGTGAATCATCGGAAGAAAGATCTTCCTCTCTGTCTCTCCTCCTCTCTGTACAACTGCCTTTTAAGTAAATGAAACACATGTTAAAGGAATGGATGGCTTGGCTGGAGAAAAGAAATTTGAAGAGTTAGAAGACTCAGCATTTACCCTTGAAGCCTTCACGTCCTGCAGAAGACACGATGAAGACGGGACATACTCAGAGAGGATGGTCATGCAGTGAACAATGCAGACCCTACAACAGGACAATGGGATGCAGAACTCCACTAGGAGGCAAGCCCTGTCGGGCCAGAAGCTTCATTCCCTGTTATTCATCATGCCTTGCCAACGCCTAGAACTGTGCCAGGCGGAGCTGGCATTCATTTGTTCACGTTTAGTGAATAAATGGACAAAGCAGGGCGGTGACGAAGGGAGGCGGAGTGTGACCCCACGGCTGTTGGAATCATTGCAGAGAAGCTAGGGACCTGCATTTCTGAAGAGGTGGGTACAGAGGCACTTCACCCAGGGAGTCTGTTCCTGCACCTGAGCTGGCCTGCGGCAGAAGGCAGAACAGCCAAAGCCGGGACCACGGACCAAGCGAGGAGTGAGCCTGCGAGTCCGGGGCGCCTTTGATGCTTGCCTCTCACTCCACTTCCTGCTGTGATCTTTCTACTCTACCTGTCTCTGCTGCCTCCAATTCCAGGACGTTGACTTATTGAGGTTTTTAAGGTTTATTTACTTGAAAGGTAAAGAGCTTCCCTTGGCTGGTTCCCTCCCCAAATGGTTACAACAGCCAATGATGGGCCAGGAAGAAGCCAGGAACCAGAAACTCCACGTGGGTCTCCAATGTGGGTGGTGGGAACATGTGGATTTCTGTCTTGCTTGATGGCTGTGCATCAGCAGGAAGCTGGATAGGAAGTAAAGAAGGGAAATGAACGCAGACACTGCCTCATGGGATGCAGGAGCCCCAGGCAGTGGCTTAACCCACTGTACCAACAATACCTGCCTCAAGCTGTTGTCTTTAGAAAACAGTTTTGATGTCTCATTAAAACCTTCTTGTCTCCAATTTTTTTGAGAATTTATTTTTATTTTATTTTTATTTTTATTTTTATTGGAAAGGCAGATATATAGAGAGGAGGAGACACAGATAGAAAGGTCTTCCATCCATTGACTCACTCCCCAAGTGGCCGCAACGGCCTGAGCTGAGCTGACTGAAGCCAGGAGCCAGGAACTCCCTCCAGGTCTCCCACGCGGGTGCAGGGTCCCAAGGCTTTG